TCCCCCCAGTGTCCCCCCCAGTGTCCGGGGTCCCCCCCCCCAGTGTCCGGGGGTCCCCCCCCCCCAGTGTCCGGGGGGTCCCCCCCCAGTGTCCGGGGCCCCCCCCAGTGTCCGGGGGTCCCCCCCCCCAGTGTCCGGGGGTCCCCCCCCCAGTGTCCGGGGGTCCCCCCCCAGTGTCCGGGGGTCCCCCCCCAGTGTCCGGGGGTCCCCCCCGTGTCCGCTGTACGGCGGTGGCGCTGCTCTCTCTGTGTTACCGATTGGGGTTTTCGCTGCGGAGAAGATCACAACATCGTATCTCCCACTCACAGCGCTGCACCGAGTGCAGGAGGCGGGGGGGCGGGGGGGGGGGCACCAGGCAATCCGCCCCACCCCGCCCCGCCCTCCCTGCCAGTCACCCGCCCCGCCCCGCCCCCCCTGCCAGTCACCCGCCCCGCCCCGCCCCCCTGCCAGTCACCCGCCCCGCCCCGCCCCGCCCCCGCCCCTCCCTGCCAGTCACCCGCCCCCGCCCCGCCCCGCCCCCCTGCCAGTCACCCGCCCGCCCCGCCCCGCCCTCCCTGCCAGTCCCCGCCCCGCCCCGCCCGCCCTGCCAGTCACCCGCCCGCCCCGGCCCGTCCCTGCCAAGGCAAGGCCACCGGGCCGGCCCTGCAAGCGGCGGCCCCAGCAATCCCCGCCCCGCCCCGCCCCGCGCTCCCAGCCAATCACCCGCCCCGCTCCGCCCCGCCCTCCCTGCCAGTCCCCCAGGGCCGGTCCCTGCAAGGGCCGGTCCCTGCAAGGGCCGGTCCCTGCAAGGGCCGGTAACAACCAGGGTCCTACTTACTGCTCGGTGAACAGAGGAGTGTGGAGTAAGGAAACGTGCCCAACGTTTCGCCCTGCTCGGAATCAAACCCAGGTCTCTCGCTTACGAGGCGAGTGCTCTCATCACTGATTTAATTCCTGAATCTATAATTGAGGGAACAACCAATACTCTGAAATATTGTCTTCTGTCTAGCCTAATGATTTGTAATAATTAATAATGGAAACTTTGTAAGAACCCACCCGTTTGGCTAGCTTGGCTTTTATCTGACTTGCTAGTTATTGTTGGTGGGAAGAACAATGCTGTCATTCATTAGCACTGTGCTGAGAGTCTATTTCTGCACAAGTTAAATGACCGTACACAGGTAAATAACATGAAATTCTTATTTGTCAGTTTTATTTTCCAGTTCAGTATTGGGGCAAATGACTAATTATCATGGGTTGGCTGCCTAAACATAATGTATGACTTAACAATGTAACTTCAAATATTTTGATTGGATTATTGCTCAAATAATCTTAGATCTTTAGTACATTTTTCAGTACTTTTTTTCTGCTACTGCTACCTTAGCATTAAATCAAGGACTTATTCTTTTGTAATGATACCCCTCAAGTCTGTAATTTGTCTGTATAGAAGCCTGGATGATGACTGTTGACATTGAAGGCAGATGTCCCATCAAATAGCTGATGAGGAAACTCTGATACTTGGGACAACAGCTGCTGGAAGGCATAACCTGAATCCTGGGTTTATGAACCCAGCTTGTATATCCAGTGCTTTGTGTCCATCTTAATTGGTGTGCAGAGGTACACAGCTGATATTCCAGCTTTGTACCTCCAACTGATGGAACCACACTCAATGGTTAGATGTCCAAACCATGTCCAGGAGGACGGTGACGATGCTCTCATGAACTGTACTATTCCAGGAAGTTTGCAGGGTATTTCTGATAGCCTCTATCCACCTAGGGAGCGCTCAAACCTGCCTTTGTCGCATCTCAATTGACTAACTAGTTAGTGATTGTCTTTGTGGGAGATCCAAGAGGGATCTCCTTGGAGTTGACCTTGCTCCAGGGTGACATGCTTAGCAACAGAGTATCCGGATCCAGTCAACCCTCTGTAATATTCTTGGTAGTCTGGTATCGGCAAGCCTTGAAGGGCAGACTGGTTGGTCACTGGGGGAGCAAGGATTCTTCTCACTCAGCTCCTGTTAATTGCCAGCCAAAGGCCTAAGTATGGTGATGGGTTTCCATATGTTTCCGACTCCTAGCCAAAAATTAGTCCAGTTAATATTGATGATTTTGTTTTGCTGTTGGAAATCTTCAACAGATATGGACATGAAGTGTTTCCTTTGCTTCAAAATGGTAGTGTACAAACTGCAGGTTCTCATAGTCAGATTATGTGAAGTATTCAAAATGAAAGACTAACAAAAAAGAATCCATACGATTAGCTTTTTATGTGTAATTTTCCAGTGGAGACCAACATTATCAAATTAAGCTTTGATATCTATTTATTTTCTTTTTTTCAACAGGGAGGCAAGGCAGTCCGTTATATCCAGGAAAACATGACTGTTAACACGGATGAACTGGGCAGAGAATGTCTGATCAATGCTGCTAAAACTTCTTTGTCTTCAAAGATAATAGGAGTGTATCTTTTGAAGATAAATAGTTAATTCCACATTTACTCTGATTTTGACCACATAATCTATTGAACATAATTCCATGAGGTGCACACCTCGCCTTTATAAGCAACATACAATGAATTATTGTATGCTAATTATTCAACTGTAGGGCCCCCGACAGTGATGGGTGCTTTTCAGTAGAGTTGTGGAATAGTTTTAAAAGGGCAGAAACTATGGTTGCTTTTATTTGTTCTGTGGCCTGTGAATGCTAAGATGATTACAGTTCCTTTAATGTTGCCCTATCTGAGATTAGTTTGCTCAATGTAACCCAGGGCTCAAACCTTGGGATTTCCAGATGCTTCATTTTCAGCAATATTTCAACAGAGGTGCTTCCAGTCTCATTATATAATGGCTTCTACTACTTAAAAGACTAAAGTATTTTATGAATTGAGTTTTATGTTACTCATTTATTTTAAACAAAATTGGAGCAATTTGAGTTCTTGTATCCCATTTTAGTACCATTTATTTATAACTGCAGGATGAATGGCTATGCAAATGGGAGAAAGGAAACCTGCTTAGTCTGATGGGAAAAGTGGCTATTAACCCATTTTGCCTGAAGGCAAAGGGCAGAACATGATTTTTTTAATACAAGAATGAATTGAAATTCAAGTACCAAAATAAATAATTTAATTTTCCAAATACAGTATTACATCTCAGTATTGTATTTGGATAAAGCTGCTTTGGGATAGTAGAATCATAGAAATTTACAGCACCTCTCAGAGCAAGCTGTTAATTCACTGCCCTGACCCATCTCCAAATTCCTTCAAGGTTTTATCTTTCATGTAATTCCCTCTTGAAACCCACAATGGACACAATGAATTCAATTAGTATTTAATTTAAGATTTTGGTGTAAATTAAGATGCAAGTACCATGAACATACATCTCTACCCCGTAATGGTTATCTTGGGACATTCTTCTGATGTGAATGGCACTACGGTATAAATGTAAAGTGTTATCTTAAATAATTGGACAAAAACTTAGACTGCAGAAATCTTTATAAACCTTAACTTGTTTCATGTAGTGATGCAGACTTTTTTGCCAACATGGTGGTGGAAGCTACTCAGGCAGTGAAATTTACTGATGCTAAGGGTCAGGCTCGCTACCCCATCAAATCTGTTAATGTTCTGAAGGCTCATGGTCGTAGCCAGAGAGAAAGTGTTTTGGTGAATGGATATGCACTGAATTGTACTGTTGGTTCACAAGGTAAATGCCTATGGAGTTAAGGAAATGTCTGTTTAATACTGGTTATTTGTAATGAATACTAGTAGTTTTAATAATCTTATCAAGAATAATTTGTACAGGTTATATTAAACTTTATAATGAGAGCAAATTTAAAATATAAATTTAAAATGAAAGTTACTAGTAGTTTCTTTTTGTTTTGAAAATTGCTCTCAGCATATAATCCTTGCATTTGATATAGTGTCTCAAAGCGCTTCACAGAATATACTGTAAATGAATTGACTATAATTTGTGGGCAAAACGTGGCAGCCAATTGCGCACAGCAGTGTCCCACGAACAGTCATAGATTGAGTGCCCAAATTATTATTTTTTTTGAAGATTATAGGGAGCAATGACTGCTTGGGAGCAGGCTGTTATTTCTACTAAAGTATAGTAGAAATAAAATATAGTAAAGTATAAAAACTTTAATGCTCTTCCTTGCCACTCTTTAATAATCATTGCTCCATTTATTTTTGAAAATATTGTTAAACTTTGTTTTCTTATATTAATCTTGTAGAGTTCAAGGTAATTTCAGAATGAATGCTTGCTTGAAGTAGTTTGAGACATTTTATACAACTTCTCAAGTGTCAGTTGGTTGAAAATTCTGGGTTAAAATCCCAATGGGCCCCCCTCAACCCTTTACTCATTGAAACTGATAAAATGAGGACCGTATCTTAAAAATAACTGGTGGTGGGAAGGTTAAATGGAAACTCCTGAGGATTGAACTGCTTCTGATGAGGCAAGCCAAGTGAAGGAAGGGAGATGTACAGTGATCCATGTTGATATCATCTTGCCTTATTCATCAATGGGACTTAGAGTTGTCAGTAAGTCCTTAACCTGGCAAGCAATTTTCTTTTGTGTTGTATAACTATAAAGTGACCACCAGATAATTCGTTTATTTACACTGCTCTATGTGTTGATTTAAATAGTCCTGAAGTTTTAATTTAAACCAAATGAAATGAAGTTAATTGAAATGTTCTTTTTAGGAATGGTCAGAAGAGTGATTAATGCTAAAATTGCATGTCTGGACTTCAGCCTGCAAAAGACGAAAATGAAGCTGGGTGTTCAGATTGTTATCAATGACCCAGAAAAATTGGACCAGATCAGACAGAGGTATGATGGAAGTTAATGGGATGTAACTCTAAATTAGACTTCTCTTTAGTAATTTATTCTCAGATTAGCATAAGGATTTTTAAAGTTATATTTAGTGATTCATGTTGTAATTGTAGTGATATATTGGAAATCCTACCTTGATATTTAGAGTGGTTAGCAAGAATGTGCAAATACTCTTCCTTAAACACTGACTTAACAGGTGACAGTTCCACAAGTGTAAGTAGACAGGAGACTTCAGCAATTTAGTAAACCATTATTTATTTTATCTCTTTCCAAAAGCACAACTGAGCTATATGTAATGTAGTTTCCATTAATTCCACTTCCCATTGTTTTCCACTCATTGTAATAGAACATTTTTTAAATATCCAAACCACATAGTTTTCCTCCAATTTATTTGCTGCTGTGCTGATGTCAGTCTTGTGAGCAATTTTACCCTTGGAACACACAATACTCATCTCATGTAACTGAAGAACACTGTAGTGTTGCTACAGTAATATGTGAGCTTGACACTAAATGATCCTTTAGTATTTCAAATTGATTTAAAATAGTTTTAATTAGTGTGGCACATTACACTCCATTTAGAATTATTTGTTGTCGACTGTATATCCCGTCAATGATATAATGATGTTGAGTCAGTAATCCTTAACTATGAATGTGACTGCCAGTGATCTGTGCCAAGCTGATATTTGGTGTCCGCGCTGAGAGCCGCAGCTTGCTCTTAACTAAATATTTCCTCTCTACCACATGAAAATTTGATCTATCCTGTTGTCTGATAATTGTGAATATGCACACTTTGAGGTGTCTTTTTGTATTTATAATCTTATGTTTGTAAAATAGCTTTGTAGGTAGTGATGAACTTGTTTTGCTTTCAGAGAGTCTGATATCACCAAAGAGAGAATTCAGAAGATTCTGGCCACAGGTGCCAATGTCATTCTGACTACTGGTGGCATTGATGATATGTGTCTAAAATATTTTGTGGATGCTGGTGCCATGGCAGTACGCCGTTGTCTGAAGAAAGACCTCAGACGAATTGCTAAGGCCAGTGGAGGTAAGTGCAGCATTTTTTTTTACTAGGTTACTGTTGTGAATTATATATACTTTGAAACTAGTGATCCCCTGCCTTATTGGACTCCAGTTATCCGGAATTCCGACCTGGTTGGACGAGGCCCAAAACCAAAAACATTAATTTTATTCTGTGGGCCCAACTCCTAGCGCGGATCAATGGTGCACTGAGTAGCCTCTGTCTGTGCTGACATTCATAGTGGCTAGTGATACTGACTGACTCAGATTGTTTGAATCCAGCGAGCAGAAAATGGCTTATTCGCTATCTTCTTCGTCGAAAATTGATCTGATAACTCGTTCTGTAATATGGCATCTTGCATTACAAAGGCCTCCAGCCCGATGCTGTGATTGGTAGCGGAGGTTGGGTGCCTATGCTCAGATGCGTTGCAGGGGCTAAGCCGTGGCCTCCTACGCTGTCTTACATCTTATCGTGTGACAGGATAGGGCCAAAAGCCACGGAGCAGCTGGGAGGACCTATATCAAACTCGCTACTCCGGATAACTTATTGCTCAGCTCTTTACCCTTGGAGTGACAAGCTATCGAGTTTAATGTCCAATATTAATATCATTCAATTTTGAAAGGGTGGCATTCGGAATCAGCTGGAATTTTCCTAGTGATTCTGACGTCCTCCCGACATGAAAAGCGCTATACAAATGTAATTTTGTTGAAGTGTTAAAAGTACGTAAATCAGAAAAGGGTGTCTTGGACTGAGAAACCTATTCTGATGATTTTTACCTGTTTTTGTTTATAGCAACTATCTGTTCAACACTTGCAAACTTGGAAGGAGATGAGAGTTTTGATCCCTCTTTAGTGGGCCAAGCTGAGGAGGTGGTTCAAGAAAGGATATGCGATGATGAACTGATACTTGTTAAAAAGTAAGAAAAACATGTACAACTTACTGAACTCCCATTTATTTGCTGCCCTGCTAATATCTGTGGCATGAGCAGTTGTACGCTTGGGATAGAGAATATTCAGCCTTGTGTGACTGAAGACCTTGCTGATGTCTTCTCAGTAATGCATTAGCTGAACATAAAAANTTATCTCCAATGTATACAGTGTAGTATCTTGCAATGCTACTGTTAATGTTGCAGAATTGAAAAAGATGTTGGGATTGTAATTGTGTTGAATCTTTTTTTTATATTGACTGCACAGATGCAGATTAAATTTGTTGTGCATATAAATATAATCCAAGCAGTTTCCTGATGAAAGTAGAACTGTCACATCTATTCCTGGTTTAAGTCGGCAATGAATATTGTTTTGCATAACAGTATATAATCAATAGGTATTGTTCATTCAGGAGCAGTGCACACAAAGTTTGTGATTGAAAAAGGGATCTAGATTCTGATTTCTAAAAGTGAGGTATAAATTGATGCTGACATTTTAAAATGAGTTTAACCCAACCCTCACAAGTACTATTGTTGTAAAGTTTATTGATGATGATTTTTTAATTTGTATTTTTCAGTACAAAGGCCCGTACTTCTGCATCAATCATTCTGCGAGGAGCAAATGATTTCATGTGTGATGAGATGGAGCGCTCCCTACATGATGCACTCTGTGTTGTGAAGAGAGTGCTTGAGTCCAAGTCTTTAGTTCCAGGAGGTGGGGCTGTGGAAGCTGCACTCTCCATCTACCTGGAAAACTATGCAACTAGTTTGGTATGGGTTTAATTGTATTTCAAGATTATTGGGGGAGGGCACTTTTACCGTATGCTTTGAGCTGATTAACCAGGGATTACTGTCCCTATTAATTGCAGTATTAAAATTATTTAAGAAATAGTTAAAAGTACTTCATGTATTTAACTGTTGGTTGTCTTTTTGTTTAGGGATCACGTGAACAACTTGCCATTGCAGAATTTGCCCGGGCCATGTTGATTATTCCTAGGACTCTGGCAGTGAATGCTGCTCAGGATTCTACAGACCTTGTTGCAAAGTTGCGTGCATTCCACAACGAAGCTCAGGTCAATCCTGATCGCAAAACTTTGAAATGGTAAAAATTTTATTGTACTGTGGTCTGCAAAAGATTGTGACTTGAGACCCATTGTTGTCTGAATCAGCGATGAAACTAAATTTGAACATTGTTGCAATTCATGAGCAATCATTGATTTTTGGTGACCTGGTGCCCCAGATAGCAGTAAAGTCAAAATTGATTTTCTCCATCTTGTTAAAGTAACTTTTATGGCTGAGTTGTCAGAATTCAATCGGAAATTATGAAGGTTTTACTAATATTGTAGTGACTGGCTATTAAAACAGTGTTAATCAAATTCACATTTTGTTTGTGCAGGATTGGTCTTGATTTATTGAATGGGAAGCCAAGGGACAACAAACAAGCTGGTGTCTTTGAGCCTACTATGGTTAAAGTCAAGAGTCTGAAGTTTGCAACAGAAGCTGCTATAACCATCCTGCGAATTGATGATCTCATCAAACTTTACCCAGATGAAAAGCAAGACAAAGGAAAGAGTTACCAAGATGCAGTTCAAAGTGGAGAGCTTAATGGCTGAAGCACCTGAGTTCTAAAATCAGCTATTATAATTTATGTTTAACTCTTGGCATCCATCAGGTGCTTCTTGTACTTCTGTTCTAGATTGAGCAGCTTGTCATACTTGTCTGAAATTCAGTGCCACTTGTTTAGTGCTCTGTTTAATTTACTATGCTTGTTTAGTGCTATTTGGCACAAACCGGATTTAAAAGACCTCTTACTTTGTTACCTATAGTCAACTCTTTCAAGTTATTTGTGCAAAATTATTTCCTGTACATTGACAGTTGTGCTTCAAGCTCCTTCGGAAATAAAATGTGACAGTTGTCAAGTGATCAGCCCATCTATGTAGGGAGCTGTTAAGAGACCACCTTAATTTCATGAATAAACGTTGATGTTGTGCTTCTTGTCTTTTCAAATCTAATTAATTGTGTATGTTATTTCATTGTGGACATGATTTCTCCCTCACACAAATTCACTGGGGAAACATTAATTAAATATACTACTGGGGAAGGATGTAATAAGGCACTATATCAAACACAAGGATGATTATTATCTCCCCAAATAAGTAACCTCTCTGATTCTTGGTTGCTGATCTTACCATGGGGAATGATAAAATGCTCAAAAGTATTAGGGCAGCATTTGTAAATCAATTAAAGCAAAATTAAAATACAATGAATGTTCCCCTGCTTTCTCACATGTATTCAACCATCTTGCCCTTCTATAAATACTGGCACTTGATGTAATTTGAGAGTCAGTTTACAAGATTCAGCAATGGTACATTGAGCAATTTATTTCATAAAGAAAAAATGGTCAATCTGAGTTGAGAGATAATAGGAAGGAGTTTATGAATTTTAACAAAAGTATGGATTCCACATACACAATATTACTATGATTTCAAACTTCAGTACTTTTAATCAAATATTTAAAAGTTTCACTAATTTTCAGAACCATTTTATGTGGACTGAAGTTTTGAATAGTTTTAAAACCTACCTACTTTACACATTCATTATAAAAACAAAATGCACCTACATTTCATTGGAATCAGGCTGTAACCTAAAATAAAAGCTCAATTTTATCCAGTCAGTAGCTTAGCTGCAGAGTATCTTCAGTTCTTGTAGTAAAATTTAGGTGTAATGTATTGCCTTTCAACACACATAGCTATTCCCATTCCACCTCCTATACACAAAGAAGCAATGCCACGCTTTTTTCCTGTTCTCTCCAGTGCGTAGAGAAGTGTAACCAGAATGCGGCACCCAGACATTCCCAGAGGGTGACCTAAAGCAATAGCACCACCTTGGATGTTTACCTAGAAAGACAAACACAAAAAATGCATTTTTTAAAAAAAGAGGAAAACCTTTTCCCTAATTTTCTCCTTACTCCACTGGCCTGCTTCAGGTCCCCTGCCTATCCTACCATCAGCAGTCAGGCTTTCAGCCTATCTGCTCTCACTTTGTGGAACTCCAACGAGAGCCCTATCACCTCAACTCTCCCTTACCTCCTTCAAGGTCCTCAAAACCTTCCTCTGACCGGTCATCTTCCTGGCCCCCATCCCTCCCGAATCCAACTTGGGACATCCTCCCGACATGAAAGGCGCTTTATAAATGCAATTTTTGTTTTATTACATCCCACATTGACCCATTGGGTGAATCAGGAAGTAAAAAGGATCAATTGCATTTAGTTGTAGTGCCAATTTTTATATCTACATTTCTCACCTTCTCTGGGTTTATACCCAGTTCCTTGACAACAGCTACAGACTGTAATGCAAAAGCTTCATTGATGTCGAAGAGATGAACTTCATCCAGCGTCCAGCCGGCTTTTTCTACCTAGAATAAATAGTAAATCTAAGTCATTACCCTTGAATCTGAAGATGATGGAATGCACAGTGGGTGAATCATTGGTTGAAAAGGAAACAATCTACTTGACCCTACTTCAGGGCGGGACACAATTTGACCGCTCCTCAGGCAATGATATCAGCCATGTGAGGAGTGACCGAGCAGACCTTTTCCAAATGGGAAAGGGAGATACCTGGAGTTGAGCCATGACCCCAGTCTCGTCTCCTGCAGGTGCTTAAAAAACAATAGCAGAGTCCTGGGGGCAGAATAGCTGCCAATTCTCTCACTTGCAGGATAGCCCATTCCCAAAACAGGAAACACCATATAAAAGTAGAGTTGTGCTAATAAATGAACATGTCTGAGTCTGGTTAAGGCTCTATGCTGTGAAGAGGTATAAGTATTAACAATATTCTTGTATTACTTACGGCCTTCCTTATTGCTGCTATAGGCCCGACTCCCATAATGGCAGGATCCAAACCAGCCTCGGCCCAGGATACAATCTGAGCCAAAGGTTTCAGGCATTTCTTGTCAGCTTCTGATTTCTTCATCAGAATCACAGCTGCGGCCCGTCATTTATTCCTGCAGAACAGCAAACAGAGTGTGTTGTCAGTAAAGTTACTGCCTTCTTTTCAACGACTTTATAAGCAAATTACAAAAGTGATTCTTTCTGCTGACCTGAAGCATTAGCAGCAGTGACAGTGCCAGATACGCCCTTTGCAAAAGCCGGCTTTAGTTTAGACATGGCTTCGAAGGTGCTTCCGTGACGGGGAAACTCATCAGTTGACACCTCGATAGGCCCTGAAGAGAGAGAGGATGATGTTAGATTATTAAGGCTCCTAATTAAAATGTAGCACTTCGAGGCTACACAATAGTACCAAATAAAATTTTAATTTCATTATAAGTGTTATACATTTAAAAACAAGTGTGGCACATATGTTAGTCGAAGTGAATAATGTTGGCCTCTGTCTGGTTGAGTGCCAAATAGTTTGGAAGACCTCTTGCAAGCCCATAGGGTTTAGGGCAGACTGGATGACATAAGATCACAAAAGAGGTTTGGATAAATAAAACCTTTCGGCCTATTCAATCTGAGCCTTCCAGAATATCCATGCTATCATCTCTCATTACCGCATAGTTTTTTTNAAAAANGTGTCCAGCAACCTAGCTTCTGCCATCCCTCCTGGTAATCTACTGCAGTTGCAGCAACGTGTAAAGAAACACTTCTTGTTGTGTGTCCTAAATAATGTCCTTTACAACTCTGAAACTGTACCTTGTTTTCTGCTGGCCTGGTGTATCTGAATATATTATTGTAGGTTTACTTTCTCAATCTCATTCAGCATCTTATATACCTCTATAGAGGTCCCCTCTATGACATTTGTTTTTGAGGCTTGAAAAAGCTTAGAATATGTAACTTTCTGAAACCTTCTCCTACACGCACTCACACGCGCTCGTGCAGATGAACCAGTCAGTCTCAAAATCTCTCCTCCTAGGAGTACAGCACATACCTCTCCTGGAAGGGACGGAGACAGGAACAATTTCTTTTTCAAAATAGCCAGCTTTCTGTGCTGCCTCAGTTCGGTTCTGGACTGTACAGCAAACTTGTCCTGCTCCTCTCGACTCACATGCCACTGCATCGCCACGTTCTCAGCTGCATCGAGAGGACGAGAAAAGTAATTCGGGAAACGTTCTGTAGCTTCAAACCTTTATATAAATATGTGCATGGCCAAGAGACCGTAGCTATACATAATGATGGCTATCAAGTAACATGCTACTTTACATCTACGTCCGTTCTATGAGCTTGCACAGCTTTGGTTCACACATGCACACCCTCCAAGGTGGTTTTAGGATAACACACACCTTCCTGGCTTCTGTTAGGCCAGTCATCACAGTGTAAAAGTACTGCCCTCGGGTGACTTTGCTTATCTGTCACCACAGAGGATAATTTTAAAGATATATTGTTGCTCTAAAAAGGTTAAAAGCTTGAGCTTCCAAGGAATTCAACCACAGAATCTTTTGGTCTTAAGTTGGCTGAGCCATGTAGGATGCCTGGGTCTCCACCAAGAATAGTATGTTTCTATTCGCGAGGATGTTTAAAGTGCTTCACAACTATGAAGTGTGTAGTGACTGTGTATTTTGTAGGAGCATCTTTAGTCAACAGTCATGTTCCCTTTACAGTTCAGAACAGAATTAACCTCCTCCATATTTTGAACTTCAGAAAGGATTCAGGTTTGTTCCAGTAAATTTGTTCACATTTTTCCAATCATCGATGAGCACCTCCACAGCTGAGGTAGTTAATACACGACTGTGTCTTGGAGGCTGGGAACAGGCACTTTGGATTGCAATCTGAGCTCAAACACATTGTGCCCATTATTTCAGTATCTAATTTTAAGAAATAGTTACAATACATGATTAAATAGAAACAAAAAGAACATTTTCTATTCAAATAACGCCCCCCATTTTTAATCAGAACAATACTATCTTATAAATTTATCAAACCTGCATATAGATTGCTCATTCCCAAGCTGCTCTCTTTGAGCACTTGGTTGACAAAGGCACTGCCTGGCGTTGAACTGAGA